CTTGAATGGGAAAGAAGCTGCTCCGGTCTAGAAAACCGAGATTAACAGCCATGGGGATCCGTTGCGCTGACCACGCGACACCCTCCATCCGCTAAAGTTGGCACTAACTTCGCCGACAAGCGGCGGTCGCTCGGTCGGTATAGTTCGCTTGCGCACTAAAAACCACGGGTTTTTTTTATGGTTTATTTATAGAACCATCATGAGATTTTAGGATAGGTGCGATAGGCGATAAGAAGCAAAACATTTCCGACAGTAATTCAAAGCTTCCAGACAGTAATAACACGTGCGTGTATGTCCACCTAATACATGTAGGCGCTTCTGAAAAGTGCAGTGGTTTTTAAAATTCTACAACAATCATAGAAACACAGCCTCACTAATGTAACAACTGACCAAGCCGGTAAATTCTGCTTATGCGACTCCGTAATCTTTAAGCATTCGAATATGACTATAGCAGGAAAATGCACACTAGTAGCACTACAGCAACCGACAACTCTCCCCGCTTTGTACATTGATTATCTTCACAAGTTATTTTATAATGCTTCCTCTACGGAGAACGACTTTTTTTGTGGCTGCTGTTGGTCGTATGTCCAGTTTCATATGTAGTGAACAAATTTCCAGGATTTTCTTGAATTCCTAATTCTTCTGTAATTTCCTTGACTAGTTAGTTAGTTAGTTATTGGAGAGGGTGGGTTTCCCCATGCACTTATACCTGTCTTGGTCCATTGTGTTTCCCTCTATGATATTCTACCAGTCTCTATATCCTACCGGTACTGGTGCTTACCATCAGTCCCGCCCAGCCAGCGAGATCGCTCTCTACTAGCTGAGTGGTATCTATAATGCTTCCCACATCTACCAGAGGTATTAGAGACTATTGTTGGGCGGGAAACGTCCGCAATTTGGCTCAGTGGCCTCCTTTGGAGATATGAGGTTCTTTTGCGTGCCGTAAAGCTACGAAACGGGACCCACGGCTTAAAGTCCCTCCCGAAGGACTTGTTCCCTGAATTTTTCCGTCCTTAAAAATTCGACGACCTCCGCCGGGTATTTGAACCCGCGTACTACGAGTCATGAGGTGGGAACATTACCTCTAGACTAAGGAGGCCGCTATTTCCTTGACTAAGTCAAAGTACTCTTCTGCAGTATTCCTAACTATACTCCCTGCCATCGCCTTTGATAACCCTTCTGGCTTTCTGAGAGAAAAACTAATATTCCTCTTTAAGATCTAATGAACCGGTCCTTCCAGGACTCTTTGTTTTTTAATTTCCACGACCATTAAGGGAGGAACACAGACTAAGGTGTTTGAGAACAGGGTTTTGAGGAGAATATTTGGACCGAAGAGAGATGAAGTGACAGGAGGTTGGAGAAAACTACACAATGAGGAGCTTCATAACTTGTACTCTTCTCCAAGTGTAATTAGAATCATCAAGTCAAGGAGGATGAGATGGGCAGGGTATGTAGCACGAATAGGTGAGGAGAAATGCATATGAGATACTGGTGTGAAAGCCAGAAAGGAGACCACTGGGAAGACCAATCCGTAGGTGGGTGGACAATATTAGGATGGATTTAATAGAGATAGAATGGGATGGTATGGATTGGATTGATGTGGCTCAGGATAGGGACCGCTGGGGGGCTCTTGCGAACACGGTAATGAACCTTCGGGTTCCATAAAATACTGGAAAGTTCTTGAGTAGCTGCACAATTTGCAGCTTCTCAAGAAGGGCTCAGCTCCATGTGAGTGACATTCCAGAGGTTCGGTTTCTGCAAAGATGAATGCTACCCTAAGAACTTAATATGCAATGCAACCAAACCCTATTTTAGCCAAGCCCTTCAATCTATCACATGAGTCCTTTATTCTGTTTGACTGAAAACTTTTTGGTGACCAGGTCTTGAATTCTGCTTTTCTCAAACGTTATCATTCTGGAATTTTTGTCTCACTCAAGCGGCTTCAACGTGTTTTTGAAAAGTGGTGCTTGTAATTTTGAACGACCTTAACACACCCCGAATACTGGAATTTCCTCTCATTATCGCTGTTAACAGGTCTCTTCATTACATCTTCGGTTCACAGATTGTATGTGACCTTCCTTTTGTACGTTCTGACCATCTGAAATAGAAGATACCGGTCACCAAACATAGTTCCTGACAGGTGACCGGACTAGCTCCTCCTCAATGACCACAACTGCCCCTTTCTCTCTGCTTCAATACAGCAGCTGTGGTGCTACAAACCGACTCAACAGAATGTGCAAGCTTTCTCGTGCAATTCACATGTAACGGTTTGTATGCAGTAAAATGATAATGATTTAAGCATTTCAGAATAATATATAGCTTACTTCGCAGTTCATTTAACTTACCCAGATGCAGAATGAAGGCTGAAACCACATACCTTCAAATGCATAATTATCTTTAAAACATAAACTCGGAAATTTCAAGAAATAATGTGTAAGTTTGATTTGTTTCATTCTGGTCAGTCACTCTAACAAAGGTTAAACGGTTCCGTCCAGTGTGACTAGCATAGATCTTTCTTGTTTCAATCCTCCATCCCTTACATGTTTCGGTCTTTACAGACCATCGTCAGAGGGACATCAATACAATCGGAAGTCACTATTACAATACGTGTTTGAATGCCAAGATATATACATACAGTACTGACAAACTACAGTGGGTATGAAATGTAATGTTTTAACAACTACAGCGGCTTTCTTAATATGTTGAAATATTTACAATTAGTATGTTAAAATTTTTGTTGAAAATCGTAAACCAAGTTGGTGCATGTACTTTTTATTATTTCTTCCCTTGAAGGAGGCCAAACGGGTACCGCCTTGTAGTATTACTAGTCACACCGGACGGAACTGTTTAACCTCTTATGAAAATAATGTATAGTATAGAACAAGGGGTTAGAAACTACGGCCCGCGAAAGAATTGTGCAGAAATGCGCCAATTGAACTAATTTTCCAGTGAGTATAGGTAAATGTGATTCCGAGCTTATTGACCTGACATATTATACTGCAGTTTGATAGCTTAGCTGTGGAAGGGTTCTTTCATGCTTCTTTCAGCTCAAGAATGAAATTGATGTATTTCTTACCGAGAAAAACCATCACGAACCACTTTTATCAGATACCAAGTGACTTTGGAAATTAGCAGTTTTGCTGATCTGGTGAACCATATGAACCATTTGAATTTAAAGTTGCAGGGTGAAAATAACTTAATCTGT